TGTCACAGTTTCCTAACCCTCTCCCCCTTAGCTAACTTAATTTGTAATAGCTGTATGTAACAGGATGTTGAGCAATAGAATTTTCAAACGTTATACAGTGATTATTGATTAATTAGTCCCAGCCAGGTACCTTGTACTTTGACCTGCTACTATTCCAAATCCGACTACAGACCATCTCACATACTTACAGTAATTTATAGAGTGGCAACATCATTTCCCTTCCCATTTATAATACTAGAAAGAGTGGGATGCATCTATGCAGCACACAGAGATCAGGCAGAGTTAATGCACATGATAGGAGAGGAGTTATCACATATAGAGGTAACTGCAGTGCCATACATCACATTGCAGTCATTATACAATAATTAACATTAGCTTTTTGACTAGAGATCCTTTTCATGCATATCAATTTAATTCTAGCCTTGACATTTACAAAGAACCTTTAACATCCCTTTTAAAAAGATCAACACACTGTATGAAATATTTAAGGTATAAAAATATTTTTTCTCCTTGGTTACATTACAGTATTGTTATGTGTTACATGCTATCACAAGCTGCTGTTTAATAAGCACTGGTTTCTTATACCTGATTGTACTCAAATCATGCTTTCCCTATGGCATTTTCCTTTTTTTTAAAGATGGGATCATACGGGCATCAAAAACATGGAGGTATAAGCAATACATTTCTTGTTCCCATGACACAAGTTTCCTTTGTGAATCACAAAGACAAATCCTCCATTCTTTTATTCACCTTATGCTCAGCAGAGATAGAACATTTTTGAAAAAATAAATGAATAATTAAGTCATTATAAATGTTGGCAATATCATTACGTTGTAATTTACAATAGGCACTGCATGTTGGTGATCATAGCAAACCTCCCAATAGCTTATATTTTTGGACCTCAAATGAGCTAATTCTTATACAAAGTTGGCATATTATGTTGTTCATATACTGTATGATCAAAAGGTAGAAAGAGCTTTGGTGGAAAGGAAATTAGGCCTAACGTGCACTGCTTTTTAACTGGGGAAAGGTTGGGAAGAATATTTTAACGCTTTGCCAGTTGACTTTATATCAGACATATCAAAATAGTTTTTTCGGGACCCCTTGCAGCACTCTCACACCTTTTTTGTGGTCCTCAATTGTTTTAGAATTTCAGTTAAAAGCCCTCCAGGTGATAAAAGTAATTATAGTAGTTGTGTAGTTGAATACTTTAGGAAATGTTTATTGACCTCTTTTTTCTCTCCAATTCTTACAAAAATGCTAATTACCAAAACGCTATCATCTTTTTTGAAATTAAGTAGGTATGGCCCTCAGAATACAAATTGTGGTCCCTCGAAGATTTAATCCAGTCAATGCAGCCCACTGTTTCATTTGAGTTTCATATGCTTATTCTATATATGATGCCACTAGGTCTCCAACAGCATGTGATTTTTTTCCCCACTAATCATGGCTTCCTGAGGTCCGTGCAAGTCTCATTCAATTCAATGTGTTGCAAAGTTGAAAGCAGTGGGAAAGCAGTTGATATTTCATGTAGAAGAGATGTTAAGCTGGCCACACATACTATAATTGTCAGGTGCATTTTAATGTTTCATTCTGTCTGGTGTGTAGAAGAATTACATTTATCTCCTTGGTGGACACAACTGTGTGGGACAGTAGCAAGGATATGCATTCCTGCATATGCTGCAATGAGCTGCGGCGCTGACCTGCATTTCTTGCACCTTATAGCCTACTTTATCATAGAGGCATATTGAAGGCGTTATATATACAGGATTTGATTTGTTGTATTAATTTATATAGCGGAAACAAAATGTAATACTACCTTATACAGAGAATAAAACATTAACATGAATCCATATTGGCAAAACCTCCATTCTAATGCCCATATTGCAGTCATGCACAAACCCTACAGCCTATTTAGGTGGGATCCAGTTTACGTCCAACTCTAGCCAAAATATTTTGTCTAGTTTTGGATAGAATATGTAATGATTAGGACTTCTTTTGAGATCTCATTGCTGTCTATATCAATGTTGGAAAGATTCAATTTATGTTCTGTACCAGTAACATTGTCCAACAACCATATGCACAGGATGTCACTAGGGTAGGAAATGAGGGAATATCTTCTCAGTAGGGACATAAATGGACACCTCACAGAGGTTCTAATCCATGACAATCTCCACACTCTAATGAGTGACAGCAGAACAGGAAGTGAGGGCAAATCTCCCAAAATGGGACAAAGACAGCAAAAATATCAATACAGGGGTTCTAGTACGTTGCCAATCTATCCATTCTAACACTTTCTTAAAATGGTGGTAGTTACAATTTTCTATGTCACACGATAGTAGCACAAAAGTTTATCAAACCCAAATTCTCAGTAAAAAATAAATTCAATTAAGTTTAAGTTCACGCAAACATAATGTTTTTGGTAACATTTTAAAGATGAGGTCGTGTTGAGAAAATAAATACCAAATATATAAAGCTTCAAAACTGCATGTGACCGTGAAACAGTGACAAGCTTTGTAACTTAAATTGTCCATTAGCGACGCTTTAAAAGCCTTTACAGGTCACTAGTTTAGAGTTAACCATAAACAATGGCTGTAAATAATTGTTCTTGCTAGTCATTGTCATTTAATACATAGACGCACCCAATGCATGCATTTACATTTGTTAGTACGTATATGTGGTGCAGCAGACTTTAAACATATTTATGGGGGTTTTTATTTATTTTTTTTAACTTACATTTTTAACTTAACTTTATTACTATCACAAAGGGGCCTGAAAAGTTTCCTATGTGATAGCACATTGGAGGTGACAGGTTCTCTTTAAGATCGTTGTAAAGAGATGTCACCAGCACTCCAATATGACAAACACGTCAAAGTTTGGTGAATCTTCGTTTTTATTTTTAGAAGTCACTCAAAGTAGAATCAAGGTAGGTTCTCTTTAAGGCCTGAATTAAACCTATGCAAACACAATAAAATGTCCTAATAAATTCACTCACAATATGCATCTATGCACAGGTGTCAATGTAAGCCAAGGCACAGTTAACAAGATGCATCAAATCACCTGTGTGCAGGGTCCCTTAGATTTTAGATGGTCAAACTGACCAGTTTTATCAGTAATTTTATAGAGTGCGGATTTATTTAATTAAAACAAATTAAAATAGGTTGCTTATAGTGAAAATGACTATTACACAACAGGTGGCACATTTTACAAAGCATTTGAACAAAAATCTTATCATCCGATGTAGTCAGCTTTAATAGCAGTGGATTGGAATCTGAAATAAAAAAAAAAAGCTTCATATCTATGTAGCTTAATATCTATGCAATATCTAGTACACTTTCAGGTTGGGCAACCACGCTTCAAACCTCCCAGCAGGGCATAACGCCAACAGTTAGCTGTTATTAAAGGAGAACTATGGGGAAAAGTCTTAACCCCCTAGTTCTCCTTTAATAACAGCTAACTGTTGGCGTTATGCCGGTTTGTGTTCGCTCACCTCCCGATCTACGGAGCCGACCTGTGACAGTTTCATTGTCACAGGTCGGCTAGAACTATGAGGCGAGCGAAAAGCACTCACCTCATAGTTCTCCTTTAAGCAACTTGATGGCACTAACGACCCATTTGCACTGTTTCTAAGCTACATTTTGCTTCCAGTTTTAAGCATATTGTTTCCAGTTTGCATGAGTTTTGCTTCCGGCTGGCTTCAGGTTTGCATGCATTTTGCATGCTGGGATATTGAAAATAAGGGCTATGCCTATTGGGAAACCAAAGGGAAAAAGCTGCAGGCTGCTAAATCCCAACCCACATAAATACTTTGAAGGTAACTATAACTGTAAACACAACAAATTGAAGACAAGCTGCAACAGTGGAAATTGATATTATTCAAAGCACATTTTTACTGTTTAAGTGACACTAAACTCAGGAGTTGAATCTTAAAAATGCATTCAAGTACCTTAACTGTTAACACAAATGTACCTTTTTTGTGTATCAATCTGCTGTAGATCCTCAAATCATCTGTGAATTTGTGCAAACAGTGTCCTTCCTTCTGGAGGGTGACTACTTTTGTTTCCCGTGGTCCCTGTGTGTAGCAAAGTATCCACGGCTCCAGGCTCACTCCCGTGATAGACTATAATGTCACATTTAGTTTACTAATATGTATCAAGATTGTAGTCTATCGTGGGAGTGAGCTTGGAGCGGTGGCTAACTTACAAAACACACGGTGAACATAGGGAACAAAGGTAGTCGCCCTCCAAAAGGAAGCAGAGTGTCAGCATGAATCCAGACATGATTTGAAGATCTACACAGCTGAGTTATACACAAATAAACAGTGCTGTTAACAGTTCAGATAGAATGCATTTATAAGATTTAACTCCTGAGTTTAGTGTCACTTTAAGGTTTTAGAGCCCAAGGGGATATGAACCCCCTCCATCCTCTGAGGTTAGCCCAGGAAAAGAAGAAACAGCACTTAAAGGGTGTGTTACATGACAATTTAATCCTCACATGCACGAGGTGGTGATAGGGCCTCTTGGGGGTATTTGGAATGGTGTGTTTATTTACTCACGGCAATAAAGGGATGCTTGAAGCAATTTAGCATTCAGGGAAAAGTGACATGTTCCCTTGGTAGGACACTACCTCCCACCCTGCTACAAACTTTCCTCATACACCACCACCACCACCATGTTCTCATCCAGAAACACTGAATCTAACTCCTTTGTAAGCTTCTTTGTAAGCTCTGCAGTGCTTGGGCCTACTTACTCAGGCCTAAGCACTGCATTCTGGGAGGGAGAGGAAAATGTGAAATGCTCCCCAGGTTTACAATATTTATGAGGGTTCTGGAAGACAAATAGATCGGCCAGGAAGGTAAGTATCAGTGGGTAGGGAAGGAGGAAAAAGTTTATTAAGGGAACCTGTCACTTTGCGGTAAATTAACAAAATGAAAGGTTCTCTTTAAAATATGCAATCTGTCTTTAGGATGACAAGTGCAGAATCTGATGCGTAAATTCAATTCAAGTTCCCATCAGCTGTGAGGATGATCTTCATGTCTTTGTACAGGGACAGGAAGATGTGGCTTCTCTCCGGGTCACCAGTGTTTCTGCAGCCAGGCATAGGAGTATTCATACACCAACAACATCACCGCACCTCCTGCAAACACAAAAGCACAGCACGGAAGTGAGTTTTGCTGTGGTTGGGAATTGCTCACTGCTTACATTAGGCGGGGAATGCAGGTGAGGAACAAAATACAGGTGGGCACATACCAGACAAGAGGCCATAGGGGCAGGTTAATATCACTGTGTACAGGAAAAATACAATGTACAACGGAGACCACGGTTATCCACTGTCCCTCTCATTGCTGTAACTTATGTTTTATCCTTCAATGCAGTACATAGAGACCATCTATAAACCAATTATTCATTTAAAAATGTACTAAAAAGGATGTGCGAGAACTTCCATTTAATTTATATCCAGACAGGAAGACCCTCATACAGCAAAGTTCTTGGTACTTTTTGCTGATCTAAAAGATAAAATCTAAGACGAGTCTAAAGCTGTAGTATGAGGGTCTACTTATGTATATCTGTAGTATGAGGGCACACTAGATTGGATATACAGTTGTGTGAAAAAGTGTTGGCCCCTTCCTGATTTTTCATTGTTTTGCACGTTTGTCACACTTTAATGTTTCAGATCATCAAACAAATTTAAATATTAGTCAAAGATAACACAAGTAAACACAACATGCAGTTTTTAAAGGAAGGTTTTTATTATTAAGGGAAAACAAAATCCAAACCCACATGGCCCTGTGTGAAAAAGTGTTTGCCCCCTAAACCTAATAACTGGTTGGGCCACCCTTAGCAGCAAGAACTGCAATCAAGTGTTTGTGATAACTTGCAATGAGTCTGTTACAGCGCTGGGCTGGAATTTTGGTCCACTCATCTTTGCCCAACTGTTGTAATTCAGCCACATTGGAAGGTTTTCGAGCATGAACCGCCTTTTTAAGGTCATGCCACAGCATCTCAATAGGATTCAGGTCAGGACTTTGACTAGGCCACTCCAAAGTCTTCATTTTGTTTTTCTTCAGCCATTCAGAGGTGGACTTGCTGGTGTGTTTTGGATCATTGTCCTGCTGCAGAACCCAAGTTCGCTTCAGCTTGAGGTCATGAACAGATGGCCGCACATTATCCTTCAGGATTTTGTGGTAGACAGCAGAATTCATGGTTCCATTTATCACAGCAAGTCTTCCAGGTCCTGAAGCAGCAAAACAGCCCCAGACCATCACACTACCACCACCATATTTTACTGTTGGTATGATGTTCTTTTTCTGAAATGCGGTGTTACTCTTACGCCAGATGTAATGGGACACACACCTTCCAAAAAGTTCAACTTTTGTCTCGTCAGTCCACAGAGTATTTCCCCAAAAGTCTTGGGGATCATCAAGATGTTTTCTGGCATAACAGAGACAAGCTTTTGTGTTCTTTTTGCTCAGCAGCGGTTTTCGTCTTGGAACTCTGCCATGCAGGCCATTTTTGACCAGTCTCTTTCTTATGGTGGAGTCATGAACACTGACCTGAACTGAGGCAAGTGAGGCCTGCAGTTCTTTGGATGTCTGTTGTGAGTCTATTGTGACCTCTTGGATGAGTCGTCGCTGTGCTCTTGGGGTAATTTTGGTTGGTCGCCCACTCCTGGGAAGGTTCACCACTGTTCCATGTTTTCACCATTTGTGGCTAATGGCTCTCACTGTGGTTCGCTGGAGTCCCAAAGGTTTAGAAATGGCTTTATAACCTTTTCAAGACTGATAGATCTCAATTACATTCTTTCTAATTGGTTCCTGGATTTCTTTGGATCTCGGCATGATGTGTAGCTTTTGAGGATCTTTTGGTCTACTTCACTTTGCCAGGCAAGTCTTATTTAAGTGATTTCTTGATTGCGAACAGGTGTGGCAGTAATCAGGCCTGGGTGTGGCTAGAGAAATTGAACTCAGGTGTGATAAACCAGAGTTAAGTTATGTTTTAACAGGGGGGCAAACACTTTTTCACACAGGGCCATGTGGGTTTGGATTTTGTTTTCCCTTAATAATAAAAAACCTTCCTTTTAAAAACTGCATGTTGTGTTACTTGTGTTATCTTTGACTAATATTTAAATTTGTTTGATGATCTGAAACATTAAAGTGTGACAAACGTGCAAAACAATGAAAAATCAGGAAGGGGGCCAACACTTTTTCACACAACTATACATTGAATAGATTGTTCAGGTAGTTCCTTTTACTATATCATCTCTGCCAAATTTAAAGGAGATTCTATAGAGTGTGTACAATCAGACTGCAACATGTATAGGCAGCCTCTAGTGTATATCCACTTTTGCAGCCAAATTGGAATAACACCCATTTTATATTTGTTCCATGTTCTTATTCGCATAGCATAATTTAAAACAATATAATAGAAATTGCCGCCTGTAAAATACATGCTCTCTGTGCAGAGATTTGCTGTGAAATTCCAGGGGGCTGAGCAGGTTAATGTTAACATAACCCTGTCTGTAGTGTGCTGACAGATCTCATTCATTGTGAACTAGATATGAAAAATGTCTGTCCTAACAAACGGTTAAAGATCTAGAAGGCTTGTATGTTAAAAGGAGAACTATGAGGTGAGTGCTTTTCACTCACCTCATAGTTCTAGCCGACCTGTGACAATGAGACTGTCACAGGTCAGCTCAGTAGATCGGGAGGTGAGCGAACACATACCGGGTTCGCTCGCCTCTCGATCCTGTCACGGCTCTCTGCCGTGACAGGGGGAGGGGCTGGATTCCCCTCTCCCCGCTCCGATCTGCCAGCGCTGACTGGCGGAACGGACGGGGGAGGGGGCGGGTACAGCTGGCTCTGCCTCTAGATAGGCAGAGCCAGCTGTCACTCACGCAGCTGGGCGGATCCCGTCAGCTAAGTCGTGATCCGCTCCGGCTGCGGCGTCTCAGTATACCGCGAGCTGTAGCTCGCGGTATACTGAGCTTAGGGTAACGGGAGGACACTAGTTTGTGTCCTCCCGTTACCCTAAGGAGAACTATGGGGAAAAACACTGACCTCATAGTTCTCCTTTAATGAGAGCAAGCTCAGTCTGTCCTTAATCACCCTATAAGGACAGTCAGAGTTTCCTGTAATTTGGAAATTAAGAGAGAAGTGTGCAAAGGCTTGCTACACAGAGACATCTAAAAGGTAAGAAATATTTTTTTTAAAATGGTGTTTCGGTATGCTGTGTAAATAGGAAGACATAACAAACATATAGAGGGATTTTCACAAATTTGGCTGAAAAAGTGGAAATATGATTTAATGTTCCAGAGTGGTCATTCCATAATGCAATACATTTTAACACTCTGAGTCACATCATTTGTGATTATTTTTTAAATTAAGTTTAGTTGAAAAGTAAGAAGAAGGATATGGAAAATAGCCTCTAAAAAGTTTTCTTTATAGGTGCACTTTGGAATAAAATGAACATTAAAGTGGACCTTTACCCCCTTTGGCTAAAAATCATATCAGCATGCAGCTCTTAAATTAAATCATCTTAAATTCATTAGTTAAACAACACATCTTAATTTTTTTTACAATTTTTAGTTTTCTACTTCCTGGTTCTCTTTGACAAAAGTGATGTAATGTGCCCCTGGAGTGTTGCATCCTGGGAAGGTTACATCAGCAGTGCTTTGCTGTGAAATCGCATCTGAGATCTCAGGGAAAGGCATTTTCCTCTCCTGAGATGATGTGCATGGTCACATGTCCTAAACACATGTGCCAGAGTTCCAGGAAGTAAAGGGAGATGGATTCATCTGCCCTTAGTAAAAATGGCCACTGTGAGAAGAATGCAGAGGAAAAGAAAAATAAGGTATGCAAATAATAAAAAGCATGCAATTATCTATAAGTCTGTGTATGTAGATTGTCATAACTAAACATTTCTAAAGGTGTCTTTGTTGTTTTTTTGAAGATATGGGTAAAGTTCCTCTTTAAGCCTTGATATGCATACTGGGAGTATAGGCTACCTGCTGATTAGTGATGTTTTGCACCAGTGCAACCTGCTTCCTTTTTGTCTGTAATCTGGTGATCTTGGGTGATCCTGCAGGAGATGCAGGAACATTTGCCATGCTGCCCATTCACATACCGATAGCTTAGTGTGAAAATCCCAGAACTAAGGTGCTTTGCCACTAATCAGATTCAATCCCACCGTAGACATCGAACGTGATTTGTGGGAGATGAAGTTACACAACACAGACTTCAGGAAGTGCACTCCTACAACCCTGCTACTGATCCTGTACAAATCTGCGCATGCTTATTCTGCAGGGAATTACAAAGAAATCAGATGAAGGTGTATTTCAAACTTAAAAGAGAACTATGGGGTAAGTATTTTACTATGGGGTAAGTGTCACGGGAGGACACATACATAGACCCCCACGGGAGGATATATACATGGTTCTCTTTAAGGTCACGGGAGGACATATACTAACCTCCTCACGTGAGTGAAAGCTCAATACTGAGAGCGCCGCACCCGGGACGGATCCCAACAATACTGTCTGGATCCACCCAGCTGCGTGAGTGACAGCTGGCACTGCCTATCTAGAGGCAGAGCCAGCTGTGCCCGCCCTCGTTCATTCCTCCACTCAGGGCTGAAGGATCGGGGAGGGGGGAATCCATGCGAAGAGCGGTGACTTACAGTCAAAGCTCACTGCAGGGAGATGATCAGGAAGTTAGCGGATTGGTGCATGTTTCTTCTCACTTCCCAGTCAATAGAGCCGACCTGTGACAGCTTCTCTGTCACAGGTCGGCTCTAACTATGAGGATGAGTGGAAATCGTTCACCTCATAGTTTTTCTTTAAGGAAAATTGCTGTACTTGCTGGATGGCATCAGCACCTCACTGAATGCTTTCACTTGCTGCTTAAAGTTGCTCTTTATACTTTGTGAACATTTATTCTTTCTGTCGACACAGGAAGGCAATGCTAAATAGGAGCAGTGAAACAGATTGTGAGGCAAATTTATTACAAGGTCACAGCTGGAGTTATAATTTCCTCCATTATCTGCTCTAAAGTAGTACTGCAACAAAACACAAAGCTGATCACTTCTTACCTGAAGGTACCTGCACATACCTGCTAAAACTTTAAGGAGCCCACAGATATAACTGAATTCCAGGCTGTATTGACAGGCAAATACTACCAGCCCCTTCCTGCCTCCAGCACATTCCTATTGGCCAGTGAGGCATCCCATGATAGTGATAGGCCAATAAGAATGTGAGGCGATGGGACTCAGAAACAATGTTGGTGTTCTACCTCAAAAAACAATCCAGAAATGTGTCTATATCTGGTGTCATTTTGAAGCTGCTGGCATCTCTATGTTCCTACACTTTATACCTGCAGTAGTTTTTTTTTTTCCCTACGGAGTTGAGACTCTTTAAACAATAAAAGTTGTACGAATGTTTCCTTACATATTTTCCTTCAGTTATCTAATCATGTGAAAATCAAATGTACCTGTTTACCTATTTCATCTGCACATGACTGGATAAATGAAGTGGATATTCACATAATTTATAATAATAATCAATTAATAATAAATAATTAATTTCCTTTAGTAAATCAGCTAAAAAATGCTAAAGGCATGATAACAATGGCACTAAAAGCTAAAGGTAACAAAAGTGTCTGTTCCCCATATTACCCAACACGATTCCAGCTATAATTCTTGAGAATGAAACCTGAATAATGGGCAATATCATCCACCTTGTAACTGCCATGTTGATATGTGAAATTATAATCCGAGCATTTGGACAACATTGAACAGAAACTTGATGTTGATGTTAATGGGGTGACATAACTAAATGGTACATAATAGCAGGTTATCATGCCTGTAATAAGGAAACAATATGTAATCTGTACAACTGTTATTCTAACAAATTAAAGCAGCCCTATGCATAGTTTTGTATGCAAATGACCACATACAGGCAGCAGAAAACCGCTCTGGGCTATGTTTAAATGTTGATGATAGAGGACCTTTAATTCCTCCCATTTGTGTGCATTTTAGACGATTTCTTGAAACTGAGCCAAGAGCAATACCTAGAAAATAAAGTACTGAACTATATGAAACTAGACATGCCATCTTTGTGCTTTTAACATGTTTTTCAGGTTGTTTAATGAGACAGTTGAATTGTCTGTGGCGCATACTGTAGTGTCTCATGACAACCAACAGCAATTCATGAAAATTCACCTTCACCTTTATTTGGTGTTCAATGTACATGCACCTGCTACATTGCTGGCAAGCGTAAATGCCCCTATTACATTGGTGGTAAGTGAAAATGCCTTCTTTCAGAATAAATGTACCCCTTAACTGATTGGTCAGTGTAAATTCCCTCTTGCGTTGGTGATCAGTGTAAATAATTTGGTGGTCAATGTAAATGCCACCCTTAACTTTATGGTCATCAAAACTGATCTTTCTAACTTGGTGGCCAGATTATATACCCCTATTAAATCGTCTGTCAGTGTAAATGCCCCCTTTACATTGGTGGTCAGTGTAAATACCCTCATTACATTGATTGCCTGTGTACATACTGCCGTTACATTGGTGGTCAGTGTAAATGCCCCATCACATTTATTGTGAAAGTAAATTTTCCTCTTTACACAGGTGGTCTGCATAAATGCCCCCCATTACATTGGTAGTAAGTGTACATGCCTCTGCTAAGGGGCCAGTATAAATGTCCCTATCACATTGGTGGGCAGTGTAAATACCCCTATTACATTGGTTGTTAATGTAAATGCCCCCATTACATTGATGGTCAGCGTAAAAGCCACTTTACATCGGTGGACAGTTGAAATGTCTTCCTTATATTAGTGGTCAGAGGAGAAGGGCCACCTTCACATATGGGGTGCAAACAGGAGGTACTGGGGTAAGGTGTTATATTTTTATTTTGACCATGACTGATATTAGTATGGTTATTTTTAGACATTATTTCTATAGAACCACTTTATTCCACAGTGCTTTTTTAGGTTAGGGAATTTACAAATCAACATACAAGGCAATATACATAACATAATGTAATCGACAAAGAAATAAATGGTGGGAGCTCTCTGTCTGCCACACTCATATTCTAAAGATATAAGGGGGTGATATTTCACCATTAGGGTACATAATTCATCACCCATCACACAGTGACTTACTGTATGGACATTCTGGGTAGAGTCCATAGCAAAATCAGGCCCCCCCCCCTCCCCCCCATGCCCAACAATCCCATCATTTTACTTTTTAGCAGACAAACGGCTTGAGAAAGCAAGGACAGCTGAGAACTTGTTAGGTGTAGTTTTCATGTAGAACGCAGAGAATGTATGCAGAGAATGCATGTATGCTGCAGTTCGATAAACAGCACTTTGTAATGTTACATAGAAATATTATAATTTACCGGGAGTAGTGTATTATATTTATATAACCTCAGATGTCATTAGGTGGAGAGTGCGGAAAGAAATCTCAAAATTCTTTGACAGGCACCAGTTAGCTCTCATACCGGACAAGTTTGCGCAACCTTCATGTTTGTGCCAAAAATCAGTTTAAAATTCTTTGCTCTGACAGGGCAGGATGAGGGGGAAAATTAAAGGTTAAAAACAATGTACACAGGTGCCGAAAACATTTGGCCTCTTTTTCATCAACCTGGTGATAGTGTAAGCTCCTTTTAGTGATCACAATAAAGATTCTGTCAAATTTGCCATATTTGAAGTCATAAAACACATTCCTATGACTGGTAGTATACCAGAACAGATGGAAAAGTAAATGACTAAAGCTAAATGAAGCTATTAATCAGCTTGATACATAAACCGGTGGCTAATTGAGAATAATATCCTGTAGCTTTTGTACAAGATTGTAATTATAGTACTGTGAATAATGATAACACCTAATAAAGGTTTGATTACCGACTCTAGAATGACTTCATATACAATAGCTAACGAGGATAATTAGGACAGGAATTACCAGGTCCAAGCCGCATGATCTTAGGAAGAAGACCTTTGTAGAGAGTCAGGAACCTGGAAAGGAAGGAAAGGCAAGACAGGTGTTACACATTATAAATACACATGGATTTTATAATGCAATCAGCACTGTAAAATCAACAAAGAAAAGAAAGGTAACAATAGATAATGATCAAACAAGTAATAAAATTCCGTGTTGATCATTTGTATATAAACACGTGTGACCGGAGCAGTGTTGAGATGATAGAATACATTAAATCCTTCTGCTATCCTCGGGCATGCTTTGTGCCATAAAATATGTTCCACCCCTGGAATCTATTAGAATTATTCAATTAGGCAATAAACTTATTTTGATCTACAGCTCTTTGCAATAGGAGTAGAGAGGAACTCTGATTAACATTCCTGTTAAATCTGGTCTAGAGAACTTTTATATTTGTAATATACAAGTATATTTGTTTTTTTATTTGTATCTTTTTAAATCTGAACTCCAGACACAAAAACTTTAATTTGAATGTATTCCTCAAAAGCCACAGAGGATACAAATCCACTTTATGTGCACCAACCACCTTTGCAAACCAAGATATTACCATATAAAAGCATCAATGACGTCCTCACTGATCAGCACATAAATGAACAGAGCTGTGGGAGGGATCCAGCAAACTAGACCAACTTCAGGCTATTTTACATTGGTGATCAGTTTAAATGTCCTCTTTACATTGGTAATCAGTGTAAATGCCCTCTTTACATTGGTGGTCAGTGTATATGGTCCCTGTACATTGGTGGTCATTATAAAGGCCTTCTTTTTTGTAGTTGAGTTGACTGACATGTGGATTTCCTTAAAGCAGTGCTCCCCACAAAAAAAAATAAAAAAATGAATAGCTCAATAAAAGACTGAAAAAGCAGCTTCTGCAAGACTCACCTTGAGTTCA